ACACACACACACACACACAGCTCTCTGGTCTGTTGCTTTCTGTCTCCTTTAGATGTTTTTTTTGTTTTTTTGCCTGACATTTTTTAAATACTTTGCCGGCGTTCACTTCCTGTTTTATCTTTGTAGGATGAGACAGAGGCGGCGCCACCATGCCACCAAACAAGAGCTCACCTCTATGGTCAAGATGAAGTCCATGCCCATCTAATGTGAGACACATGCAGCCATTGAGTCTGACTTGCTTTCTATCTGCTTTGTGTTGGTTGTGTTGCTCATGCTGCTGATATGTCGACTCCACACATGCTCGTTGTTCATCTGCCACATAGTTTAAAGCCACTTAATCCCAATTAGGAGCTGCTTCTTTCACATTTCTGTATTCTTTGAATGCTCTCAGTCGGGCGCTGAGCCAGTGAGAAGTTCTCCCTCACTACGAACCAAAGCGCTTCAAAGCGCTGCTATAAACAACATGCAGACGAGTCTTCAGATAGTCAGCCAACTTGTGATTATAAGGCGAACACACACACACACACACACACACAGATTATAACCCTGAGAGTGCGCCTGCATATCTGTCCTCCAGCTCTGTTATTTAAATCTGTGCTCCCAGGCAGCGGTTAATTACTTTATGATTTATACATGTTCTGTGCGGTTCTCTGCTCTCGCTCACGTCCTGTCCGTTGACCTTTGTGTTTCTGCTCAGCTTATATCTTCCTCTCTGTTGCCCTCAGGTTCATGTAGAGACTCTCCGCCGTGGGCTCGCTCCGGGGCTCCACCACCCAGCGAGCCCTCCACCCTTGACCACTGTAACACGCTGACCGTCCACCTTCAACTACACCAACCACAATGCATCAGTCACAGTCCCGCCAGGATCCAGGACAACAGCAACAAACAGGAACGCTTTGCAGAGTCAGGCGGCTGCCCAGCAGGTGGCTGAAGGGGGACATTCCCTGGACATCTGACCTGCACTACCCACAATGCATCAGCAGCTCCTACTGCTCCCCACGGAGGCCTTCCTCTGGTCACTGCAGCAGCGACTGCACCAGTACAGTTTCCTCACAACCGATGCTGCTTCAGGTGGACCCACTGCCCTCTTTCTTGTTTTTTTGGCCAGGGGGTGACTTTTGAACTTTAAAGCAACATGTAAGGACAAGAAGTGCAGCTGCCAAACAGGAGGAGATTTTATTGTTTTGTGGGACAACTCGCTTCTCTTCTCCGACTTGGACCTCCTCATTTTATTTCTTGTTTTGAGATTCACCGTGCGAAGGAACAGACTTAATGTACGTCCATATTTACATCGACTGACCGACTCAATGCTGTGAAGGAAGCTTGGCTTCTGTCTGTGTGTGTGTCTGATGCCAAAGCAGCAACGGCGGGCATTATGGTCTCAGCTGAGGGGGTCAGGACGCCGCCTGAGACCTGCTCCTGGCTTTAGGGAGCTTATGGACATGGAGACGAGGTCCAGGGGCTCACGTTGGGGTATATAGACTTTATTTCATTTAGTGCCGTTGTGTTGCATGATGCTCTTGTTATGTTGTCTGGCACCGCTGAGTACAGGTAGTCTTTTGTTGTAGCTCTTTCTATCCATCCACTGATCCCAGACGTGTGTGAGCAACATGAAGAGAAGGAGGTCGAGGTTCAGGCCTTTCACACATCACCAGCATTATGACGTTAGACAATCAGAACCACAGACCTTTAGCTGTCCTAGACTCCAAAGAGCCCCTAATGTTGGCCTTATTATAGTAAACATGGTTATTGGAGCGATTCAGCAGCTGGGTCAACAAGCTGGGTCCGGTTAAAGCACGTCTACAGGTGTCACATAAAGATGAAAGTCTATACAATTTCAAAATAAAAGCTGGAAAAAATCTTTTATTTTCACTGTCCAAATAACAAATGAACTATTTAGAATTATATAAAGACAGAGGGAAGAAGTATATCTAAAAAAATACAAAATAGAATTGAAAGAAATAGATTAAAATGACAGAAATAAAGATATGAATATAGGTTAAGTTATAGGTTATCTAACCGGCTGTAGCGTGAAGAGACCGTCTCACGTTGTCTGTGTTGAGGTTTTAAATCAGCTACTAAATGTTACGACAGGAACAAAACAGAGAATGTAGGTTTCAAGGTAGAAATGCTCCACAGGATGTCTGAGGGGAAAGAAAAGCACTTTGTTTTCCATTAAAGTACTTTGAGAATCAACCATCTGACCTAAAAACGTCCTGAGAATCAGGAATCAGTCTCACAGGGATGTTAGCAGTGATGAGTTCTCTGCAGCGGTGGTTCAACGTGAACACGGATGCAGGAAGCGTTGCGTTTAGCGTTTAGCGTAGAACGTATAGCGTATAAGGTCAGTAGGAGCAGTTTGTTTACTGGTGCACGTCAGTGGTCTGTGGACAGAGGTTATCATCTGGCACCAGCAGGCTTTCACTTAATTACCATGAATGTTAATGATGGTTCTGGAAGATGTTTCACATGTTTGAGGGGAAGCAGTGAGGTTTAGGAGGATGTGAAGAGTGGGGCATTGACGACTGCAGAAACAGGAGTGGGGTTGGGGATCGCCTCACATCTCAGAGTCCACACATTTCTAGTTTTACCAGCCGAGTGTTCATCATCTGCTCAGTTCAACTCTCCAGTTTGTGGAGCTCCGATGGTTTGGGGGGTTGGTGAGATGAGCACGTACACGATTCATTGACAAGAGTGACTCTCGCTCGCTGTCCGTGCGTCTGGAGCGGGTGGCCAGCACATAGCCAATGGAAATACCTCTACTGCAGTGGACCTGGTTCTGCTCTGCTGCTGACACCTGCGCCTACAAAACCTCGTCTCCTGAACTTTCCGCCGCAGATGGAAGCGGAGAGGCTCTGCTGCTGGAGCTCCAAATGTTTTCTTTCTTTCTTTTGGTTTGGTGGTTGTTCTGCTGATCCAGAGCCGTCAGGTTGATCGACTGACTGACTGTAGTTTCAGAAACACAAGGTGCATCCGAGTCAAACGCTATTTAGTTTGATGTCCGTATGTTCTCTCAAGCTAGCTCCACTTATTATGCATGGATCCAGTTGAAGCTTCTTTTTTTTCTTCTTGTATATTATTGTATATCGCACTTAAATCCATACGTTATACGTGGTGTTTATATGTAGAGAAACAACAACATATTCTTTGGGGGGTTTGGCAGACATGGTTCAGCTCCGTCTGTGGACAGATTATAGAAACATGACATCAGTAGAGGGCTGCAGGTGGATCAGTGGTTAGCACCGTGGCCTCGCAGCAAGAAGGTCGCCGGTTCACGTCCCGGTGAGGACACCCGGGATCTTCCTGCATGGAGTCTCCATGTTCTCCCCGTGCAGCGTGGGTTCTCTCCGGGTTCTCCGGCTTCCTCCCACAGTCCAGAAACATGCTGAGGTTAATTGGTGATTGTAAATTGTCCGTAGGTGTGAATGTGAGTGTGCTTGGTTGTCTGTCTCTAAGTGTAGCCCTGTGATAGACTGGTTACCTGTCCAGGTGAACCTGCCTTCACCCTGAGTCAGCTGGGATAGGCTCCGCCCCCCCACCACCCTAGTGAGGATGAATGTGTAGAGATGATGGATGGATGATACCAGTAGCTCCCTGGAGATCGATTCTCAGACGGAGGCTGAGCCATGTCTGCAGACGTTCCCGTCATCGTGTATTTGTGTCCTTCCTCCAGTTATATGAAGCTGTGTTACTGTACGATTACTGTATGGACAATGTGTTTACTGAGTTCGCCTGCATCTCTGCTTCACTTCCCCTCTTTCTTTGTTTCTTTGCTATCACATGAATCGCACGTTCATCTTTTTTTTCCAGCTTTTCCGTCTTTTTGATGGCAGCGCTCACAAAGAACGTAAAACCCTTTTATTTTGAAATTAGTCATCAACTACAAAAGTATATTTTTACACAATTTAAACAGAATTTACAAAAGAATTCAACTTTTTTAATAATTTGGTTCAATTATCTAAATATTCAGAGCTTTTATAAACTGAAATACAAATTTTAACACGTTCATTTATTGTCTAGACTTTTTAAACACATGGTGAATGTCACCGATGTTCCCTTTAATGCTCCTGAACAGCTGCTCACTCAATCACCTTTTCATGCTTTTCTACTCGTTGAGGTGCAGCTGATGAGACAGTGGACCCACCAGCGCTTCACTCAGTGGGACTTTTATACAGAACACCGTCTGTCCAGCAGAAGGAAGCGAAAGCCGTGACTTTTAAAAGTCATTTTGTTATATTTCTGGTTTCAAGCAGCAAAATGAAATAAAATCTCGACTTTTATGAGACATTTTCCAAAGAAACGTCCATAAATCAGGTTTTAAATCATCATCAATCATCTTCAGACCGTTTTTTTTCCTCTCTGTTGTGTGTGAGGTTCAGATGATCCGGTTCTGTTCGGTGGCACTTCCTGGTTCTGCTGTCTCACTCTGCCAGTCTCTTGCTGTTCCTCTGCAGTCTGTGATCGCAGATGGAGCCTGTTGGGTTCAGTTCTTGTGACTCAGGCCTCCATGCTCAGATGTACATAGTCTTTTTTTTTTTTTTTTTTTGCTTTATGTGTACAACAGATATCACCATAAGCTGTTTTTTCTTCCTGTACTGGTATGTTTCTGTGAAATAAATACTATTTTATCACAAACTCATGGTTCAGCCCTTTGTCTTGACTTCTTGCTCTTTTTCTGACGTTTCTCTGTTTGTCTTCATTCTGTTCGTGACCGTTTTGTTTTGGGAAGAAAAGTGAACCAGATTTCCCCCTACAGCCTTCTGCCTCTTTGTGCAGTCTCTATAAGAAGGTTTTCCATGATCTGATGGAGACGGGGTCTGATGAAATGCTGAAGCTGCCTTTGTGAAGATGCTGGCCTGAAGGAAGCGGCGCTGCTGCTCCGTAACACCAACATGTCGTCATGCAGGCTTCAGCATCCTCTGGGTCCAGGTTTCGTAACAGCAGCAGCGTGTTTTCTATTGTTTCCTGGGCCAGGCTGGATGTGAGGTGGACCCCTCCTGTGTCGCTGGAGCTGAGGAAACCTTTTCTCAGAAATGTCTTTGCTCTGTCAGAAACAGAAGAAGGCTCAGACCCAGTGGACGCTGAGTGTCGTAGAACGAAGGCCAGCAGCAGCTCATTTATGCTGCCTCATACAGTGAAGCTCTGACTCAGTCCAACCACTTCCTTCCTCGTGCATTCAGGATATTCCCAATTAACGGCTCAACACAATGGTTCCTGATAGCAGAGCTGAAGAGCAGCGTGGCTCTGAGGCTCAGCCTGGTCAGACTCTGGCACCTGAACAGCAATAAGAAGATAGTTCAATCACATTTTTCCTCCGACCGCCGTTCAAATGTTTCTGAAAAGGAAAAGGGGAGCGGGACACACATCTGTTTCTACTGAGGAGGCTGCCAGCGCTGGAATTCTGCTCTGGTATCAACTGATCCGCTGAACGCTGGTACTGAAGGTGAATCTACAGGGTTCTGTTGGTTCTGTCTGAGACGTCACCTGACATGATGATGTAACCGCCGTGTGCTTTAGGGTTAATCATTACTGGACAGAACCTGTTTGGGCCTCAGAGACCGCGTGCTTTGAGCAGCTCCACATTCATGCATCAGACATTATGAGAGCAGGAACTCTGTCCAGAACCACGTAAAATATCCAACAAACAGGAGGAACTTTGGAAGAGCTCAGACAGAAGAGCATCAGCAGTGTTGATGATGGTTAGGGTTGTCACTGCCAGCGAGTTCCTCATTCGTCTCAGACGACATTTAAAAGCAGTTTGAGATCATAAACTGCCATTTTTCACATTTTTTTAACACTAAATGGTGGATTATGAAAGAAAACAACTGGATGCATGAAAACTGAACGTC